AGGTTTCCCTTGATCCAGGAGGCTTCAGTCTTAGCACACTGAGGATGGATCACAAGAATTCTCGCTTCATATTACACAGTGTTTTACAAAGTATCATACTTTAAAAAATATTAGCTTGTGAGAACATGTAATAAATAACTTCAAAATGCAATGGGTATTTAATTTTAAAGCATGCCTTTTGTATTCATTCAATAGAAACTTATCTGGTCACTGGGTAAAGCTAGCAATAAAACTACTGGCCGGCAATGTGCTAACTATGACACTGCGCTGAACCAGGGCACGGAGAGAGGAATTCTGGAATATTACTGAATCAAAGTGTGGACTGGGTTCTCAGTACAGTGTAATGGAAGATTCACTGAGGACAGCAGCCATCAGTTAAACAGGTGGCCCATTGGAAACACAAGTGCCAACTGACAGCTTGATAAAAGGTATGAGCCAGGCCCCAGGTTCAAAAACCCAGAAGATGCCTTAGCCCAGTGGTCGGCAAACTGCGGCTCGCGAGCCAAGGTTTGCCACTTGACTAATGAGTTTGCCGACCACTGCCCTAGCCAGTTTGGCTCAGTGGACAGAGTGTCAGCCTGGGGGACTGAAGGGTCCTGGGTTCGATTCCAGTCAGAGGTACATGCCCAAGTTGTGGCTTGATCCCCAGTAGGGGGTATGCAGGATTCTCTCTCATCATTGATGTTTCTCTCTTTCCCTCTCCCTTCCTCTCTGAAATAATATATATATATATATATATGTATATATATACTTTTTAAATGTATTTTATTGATTTTTTACAGAGAGGAAGGGAGAGAGAATGAGAGTTAAAAACATTGATGAGAGAAACATCGATCAGCTGCCTCTTGCACACCCTCTACTGTGGATGTGCCCACAACCAAGGTACATGCCCCTGACCGAAATCAAACCTGTGACCCTTCAGTCCACAGGCCGACACTTTATCCACTGAGCCAAACTGGTTTCGGCTATATATTTTTTCTTTAAAAAAAAAAAAAAAAAAAAAAAAAGAACAACAGAAGATGCTGGTATTGGGGGAGGAGGAGCCAAGGTGACAGACATTAAGTGGATTCACCTACCACATTTCTTCAGGCAGACACCCACCTTTTCTACGTGCAGTGCCAACTTCACACCATTGTGCAGCCAGGACAGGGCCACAATGGGGTCCCCCTCCACCAGGCTCCCCACAGAGCTCTCCCAGCTGTTGGCCAGGTGGGCCGCCATGCTCCAACACTTGATTTGTCCATTGGCATCAGCTGACAGGAGCCGGGAGCCTGTGTGAAGCAAACCTGCATCACAAATCCCCAGCAAGCACTATTACCCGCGGTACTTCAGGGACCTGGGAGAAGCCAGCCCGGTGAGATGGAGTGGGGGAGTGGCACAAGGCTGATGCGGAAATGGCTCTGAACACGGGAACAGGAAAAGCAGTAGCCGCAAAGCTGTAAATGGAAGGTGCCAGTCCCAGCTCTGCCTCTGGGGACAGGACCAAAGAAATACAGAACATGTCTCCCTGGGATTCCGGATCAAGTGTGAGCATCTCCATGGTCTCCTTCAGCCACACAGGACCCTACCAACCCTACCAGCCCCGCCCTCACCTGACTGGTCCCACTCGAGGCAGGTGATGGCCTCGCTGTGCTCGGAGCTGACGGAGTGTGCGTCCCAGGGGTGCTCGGTGTCCAGAATGTGGATCAGGCGGGTCAGGTCTGCAGGAGACGGGACGGGGTATGGTCAGTTCAGTGACAACGAGGTAGCTCTGAAGTCACGGAGGAACCCAGCAATTCTCACCCAAAGGGAAGTCATGGAGATGCTGCTGACCACATGCTCAGCCTGGGAACTAATGAGGCACAGGCTGTGCTCCCTCGGGAAAAAGAGCAGGCCTGCCAGTTTGCCATCAGTGTGCCTACAACCACATGTTTTAAAGACCCAGAAAACAGAAAGGGGAGAGAACGACCCCAAAATTCTAACAGTGTGCTTCTCCATTGAACGGATGATAATAGGTGATTCCCTTTATCCTAAACGTCTGTGCTTTTCTAATTTTCTCTAACAGGTGCACATTACTCAGATGATGGGGAGAGGACTGCGGTGGGCATGCACCTTAGAGGCTTTCAAAAGTCACAAGTGACATGTGCCCTGGCCAGTGTGGCTCAGTTGTTGGGCATCATCCCATGCACCAAAAAGGTTGCTGCTTCAATTCCCAGTCAGGACACATGCCCAGGTTGTGGGCTTAATCCTCAGTGGACGGCATGCAGGAGGCAGCGATCAATGCTTTGCTCTCACATCAATATTTCTCTCTTTCCTGCTCCCTTCCTCAACATCAATAAAAACATGGATATTTTAAAAAGTGATATGTAAGGTATGGAAAGTGAGACTCAAATCTCCAACAAGCCTGAGTAAAATGCTCACCTTCCCCCCCACTTCAATCCTGCAGGGGTGACCCCAGTGCCCCCAGGCACCAGAGGTAGGAGAGCACCATCACAGAGCCATCCTTAAGTTGGGGGGCTCACTGAGGAAAGCAGCCACAGTTCAATGGGAGGTGGTTCACCGAGGAGAGCAAGCATCATCAAATAGAAGGCTCACTTGGGCTTGCACCATCCGTTCAATGCATCTGCCCTTGGCACACCTGAGAGGCTGGGGCCTCACCACCCCCCAATTGTGAATGAGGAAGGACTGAAAGGGCCCGGGCAGGCTGGAGGTGGCTACCAGGCAGGCTAGAGACATGGAGTCACCCACGGCAGGCACCATGGGAGCCAGGGGTATACAATGCGTGGGGAGGGGAGAAGAGGGAACGGGAGCCGGGCTGGAGGTGAAGGGGTGTGCCGTACCCTGGTCGTCATTCCGAAGGTCCGTGGTGAAAGCGATGAGGTTGCGGCAGGACCAGGCACAGGCCAGGGGCACTGACGGACAGTGGGTGCTCTTGGGCCACTTCTCCCACTCGCAGACATAAGCCAGGTCCATTGTGCCCGCCTGCCACGGGTCGCACACTGAGAGCAGTCACCTGAGGAAGAGAATGACCACCTGAAGGAGGAGGAAGTGGCAGGGAGGGCTGGCTTGCCTTTGCCAAGTGCCTGCAAGGTGCTGACTGCCATGCTGGCTGCTGGGTCACTATGAGGAAGGAAAAGGACCCAATCCCTGCCCTTGGTCTTACAGGCGTGTGTCAGGGAGGAAGGCTGCATTTTAAACAGAGGGTAAGGGAGGCTCACTGGGGAAAAGACATGTGAGCATAGGTGCAAGGGAACGCAGAGGCATGCAGCCATCTGGGGAAGAGTACTGCAGGTGGAGGGAACAGCCAGTGCAAAGGCACGGAGGATGGCTGGAGCCCGGGGTGTGTAAGAAGTGGCCTGGTTATTGGAGTAAGGGTGGGAGGCGGCAGTGCAGGGTCCTGGCTTTCCCCCTGCATGGCATACAAGTCCCGGGAAGGCAGTGATGATTTCTATTTCAGAAGGACCCTTCGCTGTCTGGAGGATGCAGCTGGGGAATGGGGTAGGTGACTGCACTGGTCCAGGTGAGCAGTGGAAACCGAGAAGAGGTCAGACCTGGGTCTATCCATAAGGAAGGCACCGGTGGGGTTACCTTCAGCAGAGTTGGGGAGACAGGTTGGGGGAAGTCAGCATTTATATTTTTGGTGTGTTTTTGTTGTGGCCTTATGGATTGTAAGAATAACAATAACGGTGAACATCCCCTCAGTGCTATGTGCCTGGCATCGATTACGGGTTATTTCCTTTCACCATTAAAAAGCCCCATGAAGTATGATAAACGCTTTTTTCAATCACAAATCCCAGGTCCGAATTCCTCAGGCCCCGCCCCCAAAGCCCTCTTTCCCCTTCCTCTTCAATCTTTGCTTTCCAGGCCCCGCACCCAACTTGCCTCTAGAACCTCCAGGCCCAGCCTGAACGCACAGGCTTCACCGCAGGGGCTCCCCAACTGCCATCAGTGTGCCTACAACCACGTGTTTTAAAGACCCAGAAAACAGAAAGGGGAGAGAACGACCCCAAAATTCTAACAGTGTGCTTCTCCGTGGAAGATAATAGGTGATTCCCTTTATCCTAAATGTCTGTGCTTTTCTAATTTTCTCTAACAGGTGCACATTACTCAGATGATGGAGAGAAGACTGCGGTGGGCATGCACCTTAGAGGCTTTCAAAAGTCACAAGTGACATGTGCCCTGGCCAGTGTGGCTCAGTTGTTGGGCATCATCCCATCCCGATCCCAAAGTCCTCCAGCCCCGCCTCTAACACCTTTTGCTTTCCAGACCCCATCCCCACACCCGCGCCCTCCAGGTTCCGCCTCCAAGTCTCCAACTCCAGGCCCAGCCTGGGACCACATACAACCACTAGGTCCCGCCTCCAAACTCCCAACCCCCAACCCCCCCCCCAAAAAAACCACGTTAAACTCCACCCCCAATTCGCCTAGGACCCCCCCCAGCCCCCGAGAGAAACAATCCTTAGGCCCCGCAGCGATTTCCCCCCACCCCCGGCTGAGGACCCCACTCCGGCAACAAGCCCAGGCCACGCCCAGGCCGCTTACCCAGAACCCTTTGCTTTTCCGGCTCGCCCTCTGACCCCGCAGGCTCCGCCCCAGGCCCCCAAGGCCCCGCCTCCTCCGGCACGAGCTCCGGGGGTTTGGGGGGACGCCCGGAGGCCGGCTGACCCCTCTGGACCTCCGTGCCTCTTGCTCACCGGGCCGGTCAGGGCGCTGCGGCCGCAGCCCGCACTCGCCTTACTTCCCCGGCGCCGGTGCCGCCATCTTCCCCGGGACCAACGAGTCGCCGCGCCGCGCGGCCGCTTCCCGGAGATTTCTGGGACGGCGGGGCTCTGGCTCCGCCCCACTTCCGGGCCTGTGTGTACGCGAGGCTGAATACACTCCCAGCAGCTACCTGAGTCTGGTTAGAATAACGAGCATTGCTTCCACGGCAGTGAAAGATCCCATTAGGTGCTGCACTGATATCATATCAAGATGGGTTGCCCTTAGTGAAAAGTATTTACATGCCCTGTCAATAGCCCTGGGTTTGGCCCCTAGCTAATGCTATACTAAATCAGGACGATACAGAAAAGATTAGCATGGCCCTTGCACGAGAATGCCACACAAACTCGTGAAGCGTTCAATATTTTGCTTTTCTAATATCCGTGGGTGGGGAAACAGCCTGGATAAGAAAGTGCCTTGAGGGCCCTCCCAACCTCAGGCTTCCTCTCTAACTCCTTCCAAAGCTAGTAAATTCCATTCTGTATTTGCTTTACTTTTGTATTATTCATAGGTGGGGAAAATGAGGTGACTTATCCAATTGAGGATCCTTGTGGATTCAAACTCCTATCCCCACTTCCTCCTCCAACAAGCTGCTTCTATTCCTGCTAGACTTTCGCCAGTTTGGAATGTCCTGGGATTGCAGGGAAGGGTGCACCAGGCTGAAGGCAAAGCCTGGACGAAGGCATGGAGGCCAGGCAGCTTGGGAACCGAACTGGGGCAGAGGGGCAAGAACCCCCACAGGTCCAATCGCATCCTCTGGGAACCTGGGGATGGGTCCCATTTGCAGATGGGAGCTTCTGAGCTTGTTACTAAAATATCTGTTTGTCTATCCTGCATACTGGCCATTTGGATTTCTGTTATTTAGTGTCTAGCTTTAAAACTATTTATATATATATGTTAAAATGGAATATAATGCACCCAGTGTCCACTGGTTTCTAACATGGTGCCCTGATAAAAGGAATTGGACTCCTTGGAGAAACACACCAGCCCAGCCTGAGCATCATGTAATGGCAGAAAGTCAGAATCATGCTCAAGAAATAAAAACCCCATAGGAGTGGGTGGAAGGTAATTAACCAAAGAATTTATATACATATATGCATAACCCATGGACACAGACAATACGGTAGTGAAGGCCTGAAGCAGGAGGTGGGGGTAAGGGGGAGGGGAGGCTGTAAGGGGTTAGTGTGGGGAAAAAGGGGACATATGTAACTCTCAAAAAAAAAAAAAAAAAAAAAAAAGACAGGAGCCCCACTAGTGTGGCTCAGTGGTTGAGTGTCAACCTATGAAACCAGAAGGTCATGGTTCAATTCCCAGTCAGGGCACATGCCTGGGTTTCAGGCTCAATTTCCAGGTGGCAGGCTCAATCCCCAGTGGGGGACAAGCAGGAGGCAGCCGATCAATGATTCTCATCATTGATGTTTTTTTCCTCTCTCTCCCTCTCTGAAATCAATAACAAAAGAGAGACAGACAGATACAGGAGCCAAACTTGGAATCATTTCTATAACGAAGTTAAGCAATACCCCATTATAATCCAAAGTAGAATACCCATGCCTCACATTGCTATAAAATGATTGAATAAATCCATACATGGGGGAGAAGAGACAAACCTGGGCAGAAATCCCCATAATTAATGTCAATTCTCCATCTCCAGGGAGGTGGAACTAAGGGACACCAGAGCCACTGGGAGTTGGGACAGGTAGGAAGGACCCTCCAGAGGAAGCAAGGTCTTGGACACTTTTGAGTTTGGACTGCTGGCCTTCGGAACTGGGAGACAATAAACCCTTGTTTCCAGCCTCAGTGAGGGATATTTTATTGCGGTGTGTGGTGTTTTGTGCTGGCTACACCAGGAACCTCACTAGTGACTCTTTGGAGACCATCCAGCTGGAAAGTGGCAGAGCTGGGGTTTGAGCCTGGACATCCAGGAAGGGCCAGGATGGCAGAGCCGACGCCCAGATGCTCCCAGCAGTCTCCCACCATCTGCCTCACCCTCCAGGAGCAACTCAGCTCTTCCCCCAGACCCACCGCCCTCAGGGGTCAGGACCCATGCACATCCTGAGCACCTATTGTGCCTCCCGCCTGGCCCCAACAGAAAACCCCACACCTGGAGACCAGAGCACCAGAAATTTATTGAATTATTCACTTTTCCCAAAGCGCAATAGCCACACATACGGCAGTGGATGGAGGGGTGTCCCCCAGCCCTGCTTCTGTGGCCCGGTCAGGGCGACACCCCAAAGCTATAGACCTTCAGGCTGGGGGGGGCGCAGTGGGAGGGGGATGGTGTGAGGGAACACGGAGAGGGGAAGTTGGCAGTGGGGGGTGGAGACTTCTGGCTGGAAGTCCCAGACTCCCAGTGTGGAGAGAGGAGGAAAGGTGGAGGGGGGGGCTGTAGAGCAGGCAGGGCCCCCAGAGCCACAAAAGGCACCTGGGGAAGAAACACACATCCCAACGAGGGTAAAACCAGCCTTTAAGACACAGCTGCTGTCCTGGGTAGCAGGACACCAGCATGCACACGCACGCGCGCGCACACACACACACACACACACAAAACGTAATGCTCCTGGGATGAGGGGCAGCACCCCAGAGACACGCCCCCCTCCCAATTCTAGCCAAAAACTGGGAGGGAAATCAAGCAGGGACTAGAACAAAGCCCCCAATTTATCAGTTGGCATTTTTGGTTTTTCATCCCAAAAGAAAAAATTTAAAATCTACAACACATCATCCCGAATTCATTAAAAGTGATAAAAAACCTAGCCCCTCCCTCCTCACGTAAGCTTCCGGCTGGGCTGAGAAAGCTGACTGAGGTCTCTCCACCCAAATACGAGTACCAGAGCAGGGAGTTGTGGGCCCAGTAGAGTCTAAGGCAGCTCCAGCTGCCAGCATTTCCCTGGAAGAGCTGGGATGGGATGGGGCTAGGGTGAGAATGCCATCCCAAGGGGACAGCATGACTAAAATTCTAAAATTAACAAACATTTTAGTGGAGGTATAGGAAATCTTGAAGGGAAGGGGGGCGGGGGCAGGTAGATTGGCATCAGCTGTGTTGCTCCAGGTAAGCGGACAGGAGCAGCCCAGGGGGCAGGAAGTCCAGATGCCGATTGCTGACCTTCATCTGTCTCTTGCCCTCCAGGTTGGCACCTGCAAGAGGTGACAAATAGGGCAAGAATGAAAAAAATGCAAGAGGCATGGCAAGCTGGCACTTGGGGTCTGGCTGACGGTGACAGGCTCACAAGAGCAGCTCCAAATCCATGAGAACTTCCATCTGCAACCCGTTTCCTCCTTTCTGTTCCTTATCCATGTTCAGACTGATGCCCCGAGATACCCAGGCCGGAGGCTAAGGGCACTCACAGCCTGAACGAATGTCCTGCCTCCTCCCAGTTCACCTGCTTCCATCCCTACCCTCGCGGTGACTCTGAAGCTCAGTCCCACCTGGAGACTTCTGCCTTCTCTCCTGCTCCCCCGCTTACCAAGGCCCCTCCTCCGCCGTGTTCACGCACCAGCTGGACTCCAGCAGAAAAGCCCCCCCCGCCACGAAGCCCCCCATCCATCCTGATATTTGAGAACAAAGACAAGCATGTGGATGAACCATCTTGGGTTGCCATGGGAACTGTCTCCTAAGCAACTCTGGGCAGGAAAACAGCCAGACAGGCAGCAAAGGCTTACAAGCACCTTCCCTAGAGAGTGGTGTCCCAAAACCACCCTTTGTAACTGGGGACACGGGCCCCAGAAGTCATGTGTGGCACAGCAGAGGGGAGCATGGCTCAATGAGGACCCTGCGGACACCGGGGTCCCCTCGAGGCTCAGCTTCATCACCCTCACGTCGGCCCCTCTCTCCCCCTGGCTCTGAAGATGTGGGTGGAGGCGGGGTCTGTGTCCACAGCATCGCCCTGTGTGAGGCCAGGACCACAGGTACTCTGAGGAATTAACGCAGAGTTCCACTACCACTGCTTTGTTCAGGCTCTCTCCCCCCGCTCTCCCCGCAACCTCCAGAAGCCTCCCACTGAGTAAACATCCCGTGTAGCCTCGGTTTCTGAGGGCAGAACGGGCAGAATTGATTCGCTGGGAGGGTCCCAGAGCCGCCAGGCACTTACTGGCTGAGATGAGGTCCATGTACTGGCAGACAGCATGGAGGAGGAGCCTCTCAAAGCTGTGGAGGAATTGGGTGGTGAGTGGCCACAGGCTGGGGTCCAGGCACACCTGCAGGGAGCTGCTGCGCCCGCCCCACCAGTCACCTGTTGTCCAGCATGGCCGTGTACACGGCTTGGGGAGATACTGAGAAAAACCCCAGCAGCCGCTCCTCCCAGGTCTCCAGCGTTTCCTGCAGGAGATACAGGCCCGGGGTCAGGCTGTCCGAGCACCCCCATGCCCAGGACAGTCTCCAGAGCTCAAAGCCTGGGGTTCAAATGTGGCCTCTGACCAGCAACAGGAGGCTACTTAGTGAGTTCCAAGAATTCCAGGCACTTAGAAATCTCCATATCTTTGAATGCCTGCACCTTGTGCCTGGTGAACTCCTACACATCCTGCAGTGCCCGCCTTCATTGCCCCTGATCCTCCCACCTTGACCAGCCCTGGGCCCTGCATTCTGATCTCACTGGTGTGTATCCCACCCTGTTTCCACTTCAGAGTGTGCACCTCCAACTGGAAAGCTGAGACAGGCAGGTGGGGAAAGATGGGCCCAGCCTGCTACTCACCATGGGGATGCGGCTCCTCTTGAGAACGGCTCGCAGGCGCCGGCTGATGCGCTGGAAGCACTCTCGGGGGGTGTAGGCTGGGTCCTCTGCAAGAGGCCAGGGCTTTAGGCAGCAGCTGAAGCAAACTGCCTGCCCGCCCCACGGGGCGCCTCCCCACCTGTCCCTAGTCCCGCACCACACACTGGGCCAGGCCCCCATCCACAAGTCTGGAACCCACCCCCACCCCCATGCAGGCCCACCTTTCCTCCGGTCCACCCCCCGGCTGGGACCCCTTCTCCGGGCCTTGGTCTTGCCCTCATCCTCCAGGTATCGGAGGACCCGCTCCTGCTCCTCCCCGGAGCGGTTCATGAAGTCATTCCAGACCTGGAACAGAGGCAGGCAGGCGCTGGGCTAAGGACGGGGCATCTCCGGGCACCAGTCTCCCCGTCTGGCCACTGCACACGGCGGGCCCCAGAGTGTATACAAACACTCCTTGTGGACACCTCTGCCCACTGGACCCGCCAGAAAGTCATAGGACCCCTGGAGACCTGCTTGACTGGGGAGGGGTATCTGTATGGATGAGCAGATGAGTCATGGGTGCTGGGGGTTCGCGGGAGGGGAGGGGGGAGGGGGTCTAGCCTGGTCTGAAGAACCCAGAGGGCGACTGAAGATTGAAGGGGCATTTATCAAGGGGCCAGAGGTAGATGGGACTCCTGGTGGAGGCACTGGCACAGGCAATGCCTGGTGGTGGGAGCCGGAACAGCAACAGTGTGGCTGGAACAGAGGGGTGAGCGAGGGCGCAGGGAGCCCCACCTCCACGTAGGTCTCGTTGCTGCAGGCCTCCGCAAAGATGCCAGGTGCCGCGGGGGGTGCCAGGTCCCCATCCTCCGGGCCACGTGTGTCCCCGTCCGTCTCCAGCAGGGTCAGGAGGTATTGAGCTGGATGGAAACAGATGGTCTCTGAGCTGGGGTGTGGCACTGGGGGCCCTCCAGGCTTCCTCCCCCCCCTCTATTTATATTTTTTGTTAATTCTCATGGGGATATTTTTCCCACTGATTTTTTAGAGAATGAAAGGGAGGGAGGGGGGAGAGAGAGAAACGTCGATGTGAGAGAGACACATCTATTGGTTGCTTTCCACGCACACCCTGACTGGGGTCAGGAATTGAACCTGCAACCCAGGTATGTGCCCTTGGCCGGGAATCAAACCTGAGGCCCTTCAGTACTCGGGCTGACACTCTAACATCTCTATATTTATAGCTTCTTTCTCCCTCCCCCCCCCATATTTATAGCTTTTATTCTCTGGATTGTACCAGCCTCCCCACCTCCACATTCCAACTGTCTCTCCCAGAAGGTACAGAAAACCATCCAGCCTCCGGAACTCCTCCTACCTCTTCCTGCCTTGTTGAACTCCTACACACCCTCTAAAGCCCCAGCTCCAATGCCTCAAGTTCCCGCTGGCCCAGCGCCAGGATCGCCCAGCTCAGGGCCAGGCTCATGGTAAGGGCAGCCGATGATTCCAACATGCATGCCGTTCTCATCGGAGACCTAGGACCCCCCCAGGAGGCACCCCTGACCCCTGCTCACTGTTCTCTAGGCGCTGGAGGCTCTTCCGCCCTTTGGCCTTGGGCACCAGGTCCGAGTTCCGCACGGCCTGGTTGATGAAGTGCTGCTTCCGCTTGGAGGCCGAGAACCTCTTCACCTGAGGGCCAGCTAGAGCGGGCAGGCATCCTGCAAGGTGCCTGTGGGCCGGGGTTTAGGGCGGGAGCCGTCCTCAGGGCCGAGACAGGCCAGGACGCCCAGGCAGAAGCCTACCGCTGCCATTCCACCATGGTCCTCACCTGCTCGGTTTCCCTCGGCAACGGCAGCTCACCCCCTGCCCTGTACGTAGCCCTGGACCCTTAACATTCAATTTTGTTTCATCATCACATCACCCAAAATGCAGGCATAATTGTGATGACAGACGAGTAAACGGAAGCTCTGAGAAGACACTTGCCTGAGCCCACACATCAGTGGGGGGCTGAGAAAAGCTGCCCCCCTTCCCCCCAGGTTTCCAGATTTTAGCTGTAAGGCGATGAGGCCCAGAGCGTACGGATTTGAACACCACCATCCTCTGGGAGTTTCTCAAAGGCTTGATTCGCCTGAGCCCAGCTTGCCCAATGTGCCCAGGGACCAGGACCAGGGAGGGGCCCGGAGTGCCCCCTCCAGCTAATCTGCCCTCCTCAGAGCAAATGGCATTAACGATGGAGGTGGATTAGCAGGGCCACCAAGCCTCCTGCTGGGGACCAGAAGGCCAGGTGCACAGGAGCAGCAGGGGGCTCTTGGGTAGAAAGCTCAAGGCCAGAAGTTGCTGGGGCTTTCCGGTCAGTCCCTGACATCAAACCACAGGAGGGCCCCACCGGACTCACACAGCGTGTGGGCGGTCCCTGCTGGGCTCGGAAACCTCCCGGTGCAGGGCAAGAGTGGATTCTGGCTCTCGAATGTTTGGGGTTCCAGGATCGCCCTCCCCATGGACCTTCCCTCATTCACTCCTGTCATCTCCTGTTGCTCCTCCAATAAGCCAGGCACAGCCCCACCTCTGGGCCTTTGCGCCGGCTGTGCCCTCTGCCTGGTACACGGACCCCTAGACTCCGAATGGCTCACTGGCTCACTTCCGTTTGGCTTCTGTTGAAACTTCCTCCGTATTGCACGGAAGACCGCAACCTCTTCCGTGCAATACTGTGTTGCTTTGGTTTTTGGATCACCGAACATTCTACTCCACTGAGGACTCCTCACCTCTCCAGATCATAACCTCGCCTGGGGCACTCACAGCTAGGCCTGGCACACAGTAGGTGCTCACACACACACACACACACACACACACACACGAACTGTTGGATCAGATATCCCAGAAAATCCCTGTGGGTGCCTCCGAGTCTGGAAGAGGATACTCAAAGCCAGAAGCTGGGACAGGCACCCTCCCCTGGCATCCCAACCCCCACATGCTTGGTTTCCTCCTGTGACGGGGAGCTCACCCCCTCAGCCACACCAACGATCACAGCAACATCCCTGGGGTGAGCATTCACATATCAAGTCAGCACAGGCTCCGCCCTGAGAATTGACTCCTGAGCCTCAAGCACGCCCACCCCAACCTCCAGATTCACCCCTGGCCTCCCTGGGGCTCCAGAGCCTAGGTCTCCACTCCAGGAGCTGGACAGAGTCCAGGATGGCAGCCTGGTTGGGCAGATAAGAGAAGCCACATCCTGGGGGAGCTATCAGACATCAGAGCAGGGCAGGCCGCAGTGAGAGAGCTCCAGCCCGCCCTTAGGGCCTGGGCTCTTTGAGAAAAGGGCTTCCCGGCACCTCCAGAGTAGGAGCAGAGCTAAGACTTGAACCTGAGTCTGAACAGACCTCCCCCATACAACAGAAGGAAGCCTCTCGCTTCACGTGTGAGTTCACAGAGATCTGTGGTCGGTACCTCAGACGAAAGCCCACTTAAGACCCAACAGGTCCCTCCCCTGTCCCACCCTGGCTCCCTAGCACGGTCAGAGAAAGGCCCAGCTCTCCCCTGACCTGGTGTGGGAGACCCCGTCTGTCTTGTTCCCAGGCATTTAGGGGGCTTACGACCCTCCTATGGGCCTCAGGTGCTGAGCACTGTAAAATGAGTCCACCATCAACTCAAACCTCCTGACTTCACCAAGATTCCAGCAGGAGATAAGAAACATGTGGCTACGGAGGGCCTGGGACCCCCAATCAAGACACAGAGGGGACAAGGCATAAAGGGGGCAGGGCACAGTTTCCCAGAACTCCTACTTGTTATAAAGGCTGGGGGAAGTGGTGTTGACTATCAGTGTAAACTTTATATAAAATGATCTCTACTTGGCAAAGCATCAATACCCAACCCCATCTCCCCTCTGGGGGCTTCGTCTGCTCCCTCCATGTCTCTCGCACACGCCAGAAACCACCCACCTCAGGACCTTTGCATGTGCTGAGCCTATGCCGGAAGCACCCTTTCTCAGCTCTTTCTGGCCTCTGCTCAAATGTCACCTCCCCAGAAACCGCCTCAGCCCCCACTAGCCCCATCAGCCCTGTTTGCATGCATCACCAATGGGCATCCAAGATCAGCTGGTCCATGTATGTGTTTAGTCCTTAATCCTCACCTTCCTTGCTAGACCTGTGCAAAAAGGTCGTTTTGGTTGGCGCTGTGTCCCCAACACCGGCCCCACAGTGGGTGCTCATGGCTGTTCACCCGCTCTCTGTGCCACCCAAAAAGACCACTCTGCAGATGGGGAAACTGAGGCTCCAGCAGTCCTCAGGAAATGTGTGCACCGAGGACAGGCCCCATGGTGAACAGATGCTAAGTCCGGTTGGGTTTGGGAGGGCAGACCTGTGGCCCCCAATCCTGCTCCCTGAAATGGGGAATTTCGACACGGTTGCCCTGGGCAAAAATCACCTCCTCTGACCTGTCCCCTCCCTCAGGGACGGGCAAGACAGGAACCTACTTCCCTAGCAGGAAACCAAGAGGGCTTGGGGTAGAGATGACTCAGCCTGGGGTGAGGCCAGCAGTGGCCACACACCCCAAAACACAGAGGTGGGGGCACTCTGTGCAGGTCAGAGGAACACACCTGGCAGGTAAATCACACTTTTGTGGTCAAGGCCTCTTCAAAGAGGTGTTATCTCTCATTCCGGTTTGGTAAATACCGGTATCTGTAGAGACCAGGAGGGCCTCAGGCAAATGCCCAGATGAGAAAACATAAGCTAATAATAATAACAAAGTAATAACAAATATAATAAGACAATACGATCCTTTAAAAATGATAATAAAACTACAATAATAGGATGTTTAAGATAATAAAAAAATGGACACCCTGTGCTGGGCACCTCAGGGACACAGGGTCACCTTCCCCCCCCCCCCCCAGCCAGAGAAGAGGCCAGCCACTGTTATTATCTCATTTCACAAGGGGGGAAACTGAGGCACAGGACGGGTGGGCCACACCCTTTGAACCCTGGTGTTTCTGCCTAAACTCCAGGGTTCAAAGGAAACCTGAGACCCACAGGACCCACACTCTTATGGAGAAGGGGTGTCTCCAGCCATATGGGTTCGCTCCCCTGGCTTCCCGGCTCCCTCCGAGGACAGACAGGCTCCGGCTGACCGGGTTTTTAGCCCCTCCATCCCCCTTCCACCCCCATTAATCTGGGTTTGCAGCCGGAGATAAACCCATACCCTGTGCACCCAGGAAGGAGGTGGTAATCCAGGTGGGGGTCTAGCCCTGGCTGTGGGGTGATTGCCCTGCCTGGGGGGCATGAACCCCGCGAGTGGACAAAAGCCTGGGGCACCACCCAGCGGCCGCCGGGCCCGAGCGGTGACAGCTGCTCCCGGGACCCCAGACGGCTCGGCACCTGGGACTCCAGGGCCCCGGGTCCCTCCACCCCCCGCCGGGCGCGCCCTCCGCCCAGCAAACACCCCGCGGGCGGGTGGGAACGGGATTTCCCCGGGAAAACGCGCGGACACCATCAGCCCCCCATCCCACCGGCGTCGGGGGTGTCCCCGAGGAAAGGGGCGGGAGGGCTGGGCTGCGGCCGGCGGGAGGAGGGAGGGAGCCCGGAGCCCGGGGAGGCGCCCGCCCGCCCACCGCGCTCACAGCGTCCGCCGCCCGCCCGGGCCGCCCCCGGCCGCCGCCGCCGCCGCCTCCGGGCCGCCCTCCGGCTGCTCCAGGGCGACCATGGCTCGGAGGGCCCCGCCGCCGCCGCCGCCGCCGCCGCCGGCCAGGCCTCCGCGGCCGGGCAGGAAGTGACGGCGCCGGGGGCGGGCCCGGGCGGATCCCGGGGCGGCCGTGCGGGGCGGGGTCGCTGCCGGGAAGGCGGTGCAACCCCGGGCTGCGGCTGGAGGGGGCACCCAGCCCCAGACGGGGGACCCGAAAAAATGAGGGGGCGGCCACAAACCCAGGCTGCGGGCATGGCGGGGCGCCAGCCGGGGGATGGGAAACTGAGGCCTGGATAACGGGAGGGAAGGGAGACCTGGGAGGCAGGGGAAGGATGAATGACATGCTCCCCACCCCTCTCCGAGCACCCACCGGCCTTTCTTCCACCAGCTCCCTCCTTGTCGGTCGTGAAAGTGTAGCCCCTGGAACACCAGCTGCATGCCTCAGTTTACCCATCTCTGAAAATAGGACTCGGGCCCTCCTCAGTGTGCCTCGGCTGGTTCCAGCGTCGTCCAGCACGAGCAAAGGTAGTGGCTGAGTCAGGGCACATACCCAGGTTGCAGGTTCAATCCCAAGGTCAACTATTGTACATTCAGCAGGTGGGCTGGGGGCTGGGGGCTGGGGGAGAGGGGCTGGGGAGCCAGGGGGCAGGTCTGGCTCTCTATTCTGGGGTCCTCTCTGGTATCACCCCTCTCCTGACTCTTTCATTTGTGGGTCCTGAAGACCATCCCAGGACACGCGCTGTGTGCGCCTGAGTGTTTGGACATTTGGGCGGGGGGGGGGGGGGGGGTTGACCCTCAGTGTGGGGACAATCAATGAATGTTTCTCTCTCCCTTCCTGTTTTTAAAAAAGCAATCAAAGTCACACACATATCTTTGGGTGAGGACTAAAAACCAAAAAATTGGGATGCCAGCACTTTGGGCATTTTAGGTTTATTCATTCAACAGAAGCCTCCTGTTTCATGGGGCCACTTCTGGGCTCTGTGGACCCAGCAGTGACCAAGACAGACCCCGCCCTCACCCACAGGGAGAGGAAGAGAAGCCTCTGGGAAAACAAACAGCCAATGCAAAGTGGCCAGAGCAGGGAGGGAGTGGGAGGCAGGGGGAGTAGAGCTGGAGGGGAGGGGCAGACCCCTGAACCTGGTGATGACAGATCTGGTTTTGGTCCGAAGGCACTGGGGAGCCATGGGAGGACTTAGAGGCTCCTCCCTTCCGTCTACAAGGAAAGTGGGGAACCTACACCACAGGGATGCAACCTGCCAGACCCAGTCAGGTGCAAATTGTATGGAAGAAATCACCCAGCATATCTTTTTTAAAAATATATATTTTATTAATTTTTTACAGAGAAGAAGGGAGAGAGATAGAGAGCTAGAAACGTCGATGAGAGAGAAACATAGACCAGCTGCCTCTTGCACACCCCCTACCGGGGATGTGCCGGCAACCAAAGTACCTGCCCCTGACCAGAATCGAACCTGGGACCTTTCAGTCCGCAGACCGGATGCTTTACCACTGAGCCAAACCGGTTTGGGTGCACCCACCATATCTTAACAAATAAGGAGCAAGGGGGAGATTGTAGGGGTGGGGGTGGGTGGAGGTGGAAGGGGGCATAGATGGGATAAATGGTGATGGGGATAATATTTTTTTAAAAAGAGCAATTGGAGCCCTAACTGGTTTGGCTCAGTGGATAGAGCATTGGCCTGCAGACTGAAGGGTCCCAGGTTCGATTCCAGTCAAGGGCATGTACCTTGGTTGCGGGCACTTCCCCGGTAGGGCGTGTGCAGGAGGCAGCTCATCGATGATTCTCTCTCATTGAAGTTTCTAACTCTCTATCCCTCTCTCTTCCTCTCTGTAAAAAAAAATTATAAAAAGAGCAATGGAGGGCAGAAAAAAAGGAGGAGGAACAATTATTTAAAAGACCCCTCCCCAAAGAGCTCATGCTGTGACTTCATGTAGATAAATGTGCAAAGATGCAAAAGAAATTAATGGTGATGCACATCGGGAGAGAAGAAAGAAGGGGGGGGGCTTCTGGGGGCTACAAATGTTTGCCTCCTGCTCTGACCCATGATGATATCTGCTCAATAAATGTGCCAGTCCTAGAGTATGCAGCCTGAGCCTCGACTGACAGGGCCTCGTTCCGAGTCTGGACTGCACTTTTGCTGTCTTGATCCAACATCTAGAAGAGTTCAGTAATCTGGAGAAGCGCTGTGTGTAAATTAAATAGGAGCCCAGAGACTAAACATAATTTTGGAAGGCATTTGGGGGGCCAGAGGAGCTTAGCTAAAGGAACTAAATTTTCCTTGTCTCAGGACCGCTGGCTATTTGTTAACGCAAATTGTCCTAATGCAAGGTAGATAGATATACGCTTCAAAGGCCAGGTTTTGGTATTTTTGAAGCCATTGTTAGATTGGTGAATTACCTCCAGCTGTTCAGGTGTTTGGCCAGGATGAGGCAATGACATGTAGATTAAGATGCCCTCAGCTGTCTGGCAGCAAGCAATCATCTATGCAAATCCTTTTCAGGTTTGGGGAAGTGCCCTCAGCCATTCAGATGATTCAGCCCTTGCTGACGTGCTGGGATTGGCTTCCGGCACACTTTCTTCCAACCTCCTGGACCCCTGGCCTGGCAGGGAGCTGCTGCTGTTCCCCAAAGCCCCCACCTCGAAGGTTCATCCACTGCTGAGTGCTCCCTCAGGCCCACTCAACTCTGCAGCTTTCTCCAAACAGTTCCTCTCTCTCCATCCAACCTGTTCCTCTTACCATCCCACATGGACTTCTCTCCCCGGGTTTTTATTCTAAGTTGTCCAGAACAACTTGGCAAGTATAAAAAGAGTGAACAAGGAGTCATTCCCCTCCACCTGGCTCTTTGTTCTCCCCCCTGGAGATAGTTGATGTGGTCTGATGCCTGTGCAAAGCTCTTCCTTTCTCCCCCATTTTAGTCTTTTTATACAAATGGTAGCATCTTATTCTCTGCTGCAAAGTACTCCACAATGGCGACCATCCTGGTACATAGGCTAGTCCTGTGGTCGGCAAACTGCGGCTCTCGAGCCACATGCAGCTCTTTGGCCCCTTGAGTGTGGCTCTTCCACAAAATACCACGGCTTGGGCGAGTCTATTTTTGAAGAAGTGGCGCTAGAAGAAGTTTAAGTTTAAAAATTTGGCTCTCCAAAGAAATTTCAATTGTACTGTTGATATTTGGCTTTGTTGACTAATGGGTTTGCCGACCACTGGGCCAGTCTATGGAGTCCATTTCTAGGGGTGAGTTTTCTGGTACAACAGCGTCCACCACCAGGCACCTACCAGCAGCGGTACCGGTGTCTGCCAATAGCTGCCCATGAGCTGGGAGGTGGACACGCCTAAGGGGTCTGATTTGCAGCAACCCAAATCCTACCCCATCCCATCCCGCTCTGCCCCAGCCCTTCCTCCAGTTCCTCTGCTCCAGTGCTCTCCCTCGCCGCCGTTCAGGGGGAGGAGAGAATGGGGGAAGGTTGCTGAGCGGGCGGAGGGCCCCTGGCAGGGGAAGGAGCGGAGAGCGCCTGCAGGAGGGGCAGGAAGGCGGAGATCTGGCGGGAATGGGGTATAAATGCGAGGCGGTGCGGCTAGAGCAGAGGCGTAGCTGAGCCCCTAGGAGCCACCTTCCAAACCAGGGTGGCTTCCGGCGGAGATCCTTCCCGGGATCCGCAGGTGCATCCCCGGGCGGCGGTCCCGGGGAGCGATCGATAGGGAGAGAGCGGCAGAGTCATGCGCGCCTTGGCCAGCTCGGGGCCCAATGCGTCCCGGTGGGCGCCGGCCGACGCCTCGGGCTGTCCGGGCTGCGGCGCCAACGCCTCGGACGGCCCGGCCCCCGCGGTGTGGTCCTTGGACGCCTGGCTCGTGCCGCTCTTTTTTGGCGCCCTAATGCTGCTCGGCCTGACCGGGAACTCGCTGGTCATCTTCGTCATCTGCCGCCACAAGCAGATGCGCACAGTGACCAACTTCTACATCGGTGAGCCCCTGGGTGTATCTGCCAGTCCCCTGTCCCCACGAGGGCGGAGGGGCGGGAGCGCCCCCTAGCGGTGCCCGGGCCCTGCCAGAGAGGCGTCTCTCCCGGGTCTCCGCTCCTCTCCCTCCTGGCCCCCCCGCCTTAGGCTAGAGGTCCCCAACGGCCGCTGGAGGGTTCCTGCGGTCGCAGCACATCAAAGGTTGGAGAGTGTGGCTTGGAGAGCTCGCCCCTGCCGCTCCGGGAAGATGTCCGATTGAAATGCGGTCGTAGGACACAGTGTTCGATGAATAAAAGCTGTGGAGGGGAGGGGCTGCCTGGTCCTTGGGCTCCCAGTTTGCAATTTCTGCCACAGTTTTTGGCTCAGTTTGCACACCTGTGTGACGGGATGACCCACCACGCAGGTGAGTGCTCAGTTCGTGTTCTCCATCGACGATGGGTGTTGGGCCAGCACCACTGTCTCCAATTTGCAGAGGAGAAAACTGAGGCTCAGAGGGACAGGAGCCTGCTCTGGCTCTCCCAGCCCAGACAGGGGTGAGCCCACTGAAGCTTGATAGCTGTGAAGTCGGTGTGGGGGATGTTTGAAGTGTAAAAGGGGGAGATTGGGGGATGTAGGGGGCCTTCTGGAGCTGACCTGCTGGTCACTCAGACAAAGGTGGGTGCCAGGGAGCTGGGCCAGAAGCGCTGGGGGGCGGAGGCCCCATGTCCAGAGCCGAACTTCTGCCTGCAGCCAACCTGGCGGCCACTGACGTGACCTTCCTGCTGTGCTGTGTGCCCTTCACCGCCCTACTCTACCCGCTGCCTGCCTGGGTGCTGGGTGACTTCATGTGCAAGTTTGTCAACTACATTCAGCAGGTGGGCCGTGGGCTGGGGGAGAGGGACTGGGAGCCAGGGGGCAGGTCTGGGTGTGGGCAGGTGGGTGCAGTGGGGACAATGGGGCCCAGTGGGCAGTGGGTTGGTAGGGGGGTGGGGCTGAATCAGCCTGGTGGATAGGCTGGGAGAAGGTGTAGCCCAGTGCGAAGTGGGTTGGTGGGGGGCGGAGGACCCCAGCAGTGGGGAGGGCAGGGCTACAGGAGGCACTGGGTGTTGGAGATGAGCACTGGAGGGTGATGCGGGTTCTTGCCCCTCCCACCGGCCCCTAGGATGGCTCTGCCTCTCCCTGTCTCAGTCTCTGGGTCTCAGAAGGCCCCAGTGGTGCCCTCAAGCCCTCACTATTCTGGGGTCCTCTCTGGTATCACCCCTCTCCTGACCCTTTCATTTGTGGGTCAGGACCTCCCAGGACACGCCCTGTGTGTTTGGACATTTGTGTGTGTGGGTGGGAGGGGGGAGCGGAGGGGGACCCGCAGTGTGGACATAGACAAGGCAGACCCCACGCCCAGCTCCCGGCCCTCCAGGTCTCCGTGCAGGCTACGTGCGCCACCCTGACCGCCATGAGCGTGGACCGCTGGTACGTCACGGTGTTCCCGCTGCGCGCCCTGCACCGCCGCACGCCCCGCCTGGCGCTGTCCGTCAGCCTGGGCATCTGGGTGGGTGAGTGCAGCGCGGGAGCACACGGGGTGGGGGGACAAGTCCTCCTCGTGCCCTGGGCGCCTTCCGTCTCACCATCTCCCTCTGGGCGTCGGGAAATGCGCACCATGGCGCTGCCGGAGAAGAACTCCTGAGCGCGCAGACTGGGGAGGCGCCCGGGAGACCAGGGCCCCGGCCCCTCCTGGCGCTGGTCCCCGGGCGAGGCCTTCAGCTGCGCCCGTGGTGCAGGCTCCGCGGCCGTGTCGGCGCCGGTGCTCGCCCTGCACCGCCTCTCGCCGGGGCCGCGCACCTACTGCAGCGAGGCCTTCCCCAGCCGCGCCCTGGAGCGCGCCTTTGCGCTCTACAACCTGCTGGCGCTCTACCTGCTGCCGCTGGCCGCCACCTGCGCCTGCTATGGGGCCATGCTCCGCCACCTGGGCCGCGCCGCCCTGAGCCCGGCGCCCGCCGACAGCTCCCGGCAGGTGCGCCGCGGGCTGGGGGGAGGCGGAGCCGGGCTGGGATGGGCACGGCGGGGGGTGGGGAGGCACATGGGGGAATCTGAGGGGGTGACAGGAGGGCAGCTCCGGGGGAAGGTCCCACAGCCCCTCCTCCTCCCACCCCCATCAGGGGCAGATGCTGGCGGAGCGGGCGGACGTTGTGCGGGCCAGGGTGTCCAGGCTGGTGGCGGCCGTGGTGCTGCTCTTCGCGGTCTGCTGGGGCCCCATCCAGCTGTTCCTGGTGCTGCAGGCGCTGGGCCCGTCGGGCTCCTGGCACCCCCGCAGCTACGCGGCCTACGCGCTCAAGATCTGGGCGCACTGCATGTCCTACAGCAACTCCGCGCTCAACCCGCTGCTCTACGCCTTCCTGGGCGCGCACTTCCGGCGGGCCCTGCGCCGCGTCTGCGCCTGCGCTGCCCGTGCCCCCAGCGGCCCCCGCGCCCCCCGCGCCCCGGGTCCCCGGACCTCCCCGCCCCGCCTCCCGCCGCCACCGCAGGGCGACGACGAAGCCGGGAGACGGCGGGCCAGGGCTGTGCGTCCTGAGGGAACACGCTGCCCCTCTCTGAGCCGACTCTGGTGGAACCGAGGTGGGCCTCCCTCTGGAATGGGTGTTGCTTGAACAGCAGTTGCCATGATTCCGTTATTAATACCTTTGTTTTCGTCCAAGAGCATCTTAGTAAAAATGTTGTGTCCTCCTGTAAGGTTTGTTACAAACTGGCTGTGATGTTTGCAGTTGTTGGTATTGTGATTATTATTTCTTTATGTCCTGAAATTGAAGATACTTTGATGCCGGCACCCAACGTCTGGAACTTTCCAGGAAGCACCGATAGACGTTTTCACTCCGTATACTGTATGATCGCAAGATTCATCTCATTGTCAGCGGTATTAAAATTCGAACACTCCCTGTCCAGGTAGCTGAGTTGGTTACAGCGATCGCCCTAATACGTGCAGATAGTGATTTCAATCCCTGGTCAGGGCACATACAAGAATCAACCAACGGCCGAAACCGGTTTGGCTCAGTGGTAGAGTGTCTGTCTGCGGACTGAAGGTTCGATTCTGGTCAAGGGCATGTACGTTGGTTGCGGGCACATCCCCAATAGGGGGTGTGCAAGAGGCAGCTGGTCGACGTTTCTCTCTCATCGACGTTTCTAGCTCTCTATTTCTCTCCCTTCCTCTCTGTAAAAAATCAATAAAATATATTAAAAAAAAAAAGAATCAACCAATGAATGCATAAATAAGTGAAACAGCAAATCAATGTCCGCCCCCTCTCAAATCAGTCAATAAAGCCCACCAATCCCCAGTAGGGGTCCTGCAGGAGGCAGCCTATGGATATTTCTCTCATTGATATTCCTATCTCTCCCTCTTTATTAATTTTTTCTTTTTTTTAAATCAATTTTTAAAAAACAATTTAAAAAATAAAATCAATAAGTAAAAAAAGTTTAAATGCGAACACTTTGTACATTTCAAAATGGTGGAATTGGCTGTTATCGTTGCTACTTGGAGACCGGGAACACCTCCCTGGGGCACAGAGCATGGAGCTGCTGTGCAAGAGGCAGGATTGATGGCTGGGTAACAAACTGGCCCAGACAGCGTCTCAGAACAGTAGCCATTCATTGTCTCTCATTATCCAGCCTGGCGGTGCTGCGACCCTCTGGTGTTGGCTGGGCCAGGGAGTTGGGAGAAAGCTTCCCTCTAGTGGCCAGTGTGGGGCTTTCTCCTGGATGGCCTGCAGGAAAATCAGACATTCCTCCGCAGAAACTTCCAAGAAGAGGCAGAAGCTCCACGCTTCCTGCGGCCTGGGCTCAGGAGTCCCAAAGCCTCACTTTCAGAATCCCACCAGGTTCCACAGCGGGGTGGAGTGTGTGTGTGTGTGTGGGGAGGGGGGGAACCCCACCTCTGGATGGTTTAGTCTTAGTGCAGTCTCCCAAACAGCCCTGCGAGCTGAAGGCTTCGTTGCCCTGAGAGACAGCTGCCCGTACCTTGGAAGGCCCCGTCCTCCCCAGTTATGTGGGGACATGATAGCTCTCCACACCACCCAGGTCTGTGGAGGTATGGCTGGGCGGGAGGCGCGCCGGGCTGAGAGGCTAGGACATCACGTAGTTTTTTAATCCTCGCCCGAGGATATTTTCCCATTGATTTTTAGGGAGAGTGGAAGAGAGCCGGAAAGACAGAGAGAAACATCAATATGAGAAACACATCGATTGGTTGCTTCCTGCACGCCCCTGACCAGGGCCAGGGCTGGGGAGGAGCCTGCAGCCGAGGTACGTGCCCTTGACAGGAATTGACCCCCAGACCCTTCGGTCCACAGGCCGACACTCTATTCACTGAACCAAACCGGGTTGGGCCATCATGCTGTTTTGATGTTGGCCTGAACCTTCTTGTTCTGGTCTTCAAGGCCTGGCCTCCAGGCTGGATGTGAGGGTGAAATTCTCTTTGCTCACAGGCCCTGCCCACCTCTCTTTCCTCCTCCCACATCTCCCGAATCACTCCCTCCCAGTGGCTTCCTGAACTGTTGCCATTCTTCTTGCATCTGGCCCTTGACACATGCAGGTCCCTCTGTTGGGCGAGGTGTACCTTCACTCACCCATGAGGCCTCAGGTCAGCTGCCTCTTCCTCCAGGAAGTCCTCCCAGATCTCACCAGGCTGGGCCAGGCACCCCACCTGGCTTTCCATCACAGCGCTAACATCCTTGTGCTGTACCCTCGGGTGCATGCCTTACTCGGTCCCCCAGGGGTCTCCAGGGCCCAGTGCACCATAAGGCTGACTAGGTAGATAGTTGTGGAATGAAAAGCCGGGTGTGCTGTAGGGATTAAAAGATGAGGTGTGTGCCTAGCGAATGGCAGCATTTCTCTGTGAAAAGAAAAGGAATTGAAAAAATCATTTAAGAAAGACAGACTCTTGGGCATCTATCTCAGAGAAATGGAAACCTCTGTTCATACAAAAACCTGTACTTGTGTTCCTAGCAGCTGCATTTGCACAATCCCCAAACTGGAGCCAACCAGGTGTGCTTTACCAGGAGATGGGGAAACAGACTGTGGGCCAGTCACACCACAGGCTATGACTCAGAGGAAAAAAATATGGACACACTATGGATACAGGCAACATCTTGGGTGGCTCTTCGGGAACGACACAGTGTAAGATCATCCCCAGGGGTTCATGGTGTGTGGTCTCAGCTATTAAGGTCCTCGAGGTGGCAAAGGGACAGAACGGAGAACAGATTAGTGGTGAAGGGTGGTGGCAGGAAGGAAAGGTGGGGAAAGGTGGGTGGGTGTCATGAGAGACCTTTTTATTTCTTTACTTTTTAAAAAAAATATATTTTTATTGATTTTGTACAGAGAGGAAGGGAGAGAGATAGTTAGAAACATCGATGAGAGAGAGTCATCGATCAGCTGCCTCTTGCACACCCCCCACCGGGGATGTGCCCCCAACCAATGTACATGCCCTTGACCAGAATCGAACCTGGGACCTTTCAGTCCACAGACCGATGCTCTACCACTGAGCCAAACCAGTTGCAACTTGAGGGTCCTTTTAAAAATATATATATATTTTATTGATTTTTTTACAGAGATGAAGGGAGAGAAAGCTAGAGAGAGAAACATCCATCAGCTGCCTCCTTCACAGCTCCCACTGGAGATGTGCCTGCAACCAAGGTACATGCCCAGAATCGAACCTGGGACCTTTCAGTCTGCAGGCCAACTCTCTATCCACTGAGCCAAACCGGTCAGGGCTCTGAGGGACTTTTTGTTGGAACTGGTCTGTCCCTGGACGGTGGTGGTAGACTTATGAATTTACACAGGTGGTAAAACTGTATGGAACTACAATTTGGTGGCTAAATTGGTTGGAGCGTCGCCCCATGCCATACACTTAAAGGTTGCAGGTTCGATTCCAGCTCAAGGCACATACCCAGGTTGTGGGTTCAATCTCTGGATAGGGCGTGTGCAGGAGGTGACTGATCAATGTCTCTCTCTCTCTTTCTCCTTCTTCTCCCTCTCCTTCTCTCTTTCTCTATAAAAAGTCAATAAAAGAGCATATCTTCAGGTGATGATTAAAAAACCCTGTAGGGAACAAAACACACACACACACACACACACACACACACACACACACTGGTACAAGTAAAATGGGGAAATCAGACAGGATGGCTGGATTGCATCAGTGTTGATATCCTGATTGTGATATTGCACTACAGTTTTCTAAAATTCACTCTAGGCCCTGGCGTCTAGGGGAAGCCTGGCCAGGGTATGGGAGCTCTCAGCATTGGAATGTAGAGTCTACAATCATCTAGAAACAAAAAGTAAAACAAAACAAAACAACAAGGACGTTAGCCCAGCAGGTGTGGCTCAGCAGTTGAACGTAGACCCAGGAACCAAGGGGTCACCAGTTCTATTCTCAGGGCACATGCCCGCGTTGAGTTGCAGGCTGGATTCCCAGTAGGGAGCGTGCTGGAGGCAGCTAATAGATGATGTTTCCCATCCATGTTTCTGTCCTTTCTCTCCCTCTCTCTCTCTCAAAAAATAATAGCCCGCCCTAGCTGGTTTGGCTCAGTGAATAGAACTTCGGCTCTAGGACTGAAGGGTCCCAGGTTCAATTCTGGACCCAAGAGTGTGTACCTCAGTTGCAGGCTCTGGCCCTGGTGGGGGTGCAACCAATACATGTGTCTCTTTCACATGGATGTTTCTCTCTCTCTGGCTTTCCCCCTCTCTTTCACTCTCTCTAAAAATCAGTGGAGCCCTGGCTTGTTTGGCTCAGTGGACAGAGCGTTGGCCTGCAGACTCAAGGGTCCCAGGTTCAATTCCCGTCAAGGGCACATGCCCAGGTTGTGGGCTCGATCCCCAGTAGGGGGCATGCAGGAGGCAGCCACACCTGCTGGGCTAACTTCATTTTTTTATTTTCATTTTTTGTTTCTAGATGATGGTAAACTCTAAATTCTAACACAGAGAGCTCCCACATCGTCACCCACGCTTCCCCTAGAGTAATATTTTAAAATATATTTTATTGATTTTTATACAGAGAGGAAGGGAAAGAGATAGAGAGTTAGAAACATCGATGAGAGAGTCATTGATCAGCTGCCTCTTGCACACCCCCTACTGGGGATATGCCCGCAACCAAGGTACATGCCCTTGACTGGAATCAAACCCGGGACCTTTCAGTCCCCAAGCCAACGCTCTATCCATTGAGTCAAACCAGTCCCAGCTAGAGTAATATTTTAGAAAACGGTAATACAAGATCACAATCAGAATATCAACATCTGTCATCATTGATATCTCTCTCTCTCTCTCTCTCTCTCTCTCTCTCTCTCTCTCTCTCTCTCCCTCTCCCTCTCTCCCTCTCTCTCTTTCTCCCCTTTTCCTCAGGCAGGAGGATATTAAAAAATAAGCAACCAGGTATAAAAAAATAAATTTTAAAAAATCAATTGAAAATACCCTTGGGAAAGGATTAACCAAATATATTTTTATTGATTTCAGAGGGAAGGGAGATGGAGAGAGATAAGAGAGACTCACCCATTGACCACTGCCTTCTGCATGCCCCACACTGTGGATCGAACCCATAACCCAGGCACGTGCCCTGACCAGGAATTGAACCATGACCTCCTGGTTCGTAGGTCAACGCTCAACCACTAAGCCATACTGGCCTGGGCAAAACAATTTTTTTCCCCAATAAAAACATATTAGAAAATTTTTTTTAATGAAGTGAAAGTATTGAAAGGGACATTCAGAAAGGGGAATAGTTTTAAAAGTGCACCTGCAGGGTGTGCCCTTAGCTTATCTTCACATCCTCCCAGGCGGACACTGGTTTGGAGCCCCTTCTGTGTGCCAGGCACTGTGGCAGGCACTGGGGCCACAGCAGCACTGAGCAGCCCCTGCTTCCACCCGCATGGTCCCCGTCTAGCGGACAACAGGGTTAGTGAGTGGCCAACTACCTAGAGAGATGCAGTGTGATGGCAGTGGGAAGGGTCACGCAGGGAAAACGTGTGCCCGTTGTGATGAACTAGAATGCATCCAGGAAAGCTTCCTACGAGGGG